TATCATCTGCAAACTTAATAAGCGTACTTTCTATGCCAATATCTAAATCATTGATGAAGATATTGAACAGAGGCCATCCCAAAACAGACCCCTGCGGAACCCCACTTGTTATACCTTTCCAGCAGGATTGTAAACCATTAATAACTACTCTCTGAGTACGGTTATCCAGCCAGTTATGCACACACCTTATAGTAGCCCCATCTAAGTTGTATTTGCCTAGTTTATTGATAAGAATATCATGCGAGACCGTATCAAACACCTTACTAAAGTCTAGGTATACCACATCCACCGCTTCTCCCTTATCCACAAGACTCGTTATCCTATCAAAAAAAGCAATCAGATTGGTTTGACATGATTTGCTCTTTACAAATCCATGCTGGCTGTTCCCTATCACCTTGCCACCTTCCAAGTGTTTACAGATGATTTCCTTAATTACTTGCTCCATTATCTTCCCTGGCACAGAAGTCAAACTAACTGGTCTGTAGTTTCCTGGGTAGTTCTTATTTCCCTTTTTATAAATGGGCACTATATTTGCCCTTTTCCAGTCTTCTAAATGACAGCTAGAGGCTCAGATACCTCCTCTATCAGCTCCTTGAGTGTTCTAGGCTGCATTTCATCAGGCCCTGGTGACTTGCAGGCATCTAACTTTTCTAGGTGATTTTTAACTTGTTCTTTTTTTATTTTATCTTCTAAACCTACCTCCTTCCCACTAGCAATCACTGTTAGGCGTTCCTTCATCTCAGTGAAGACCGAAACAAAGAAGTCCTTAAGCATCCCTGCCATTTCCAAGTTTCCTGCTACTGTTTCTCTCTCCTCACTGACCAGTGGGCCTACCCTGTCCTTGGTCTTCCTCTTGCTTCTAGGCTGTGTCTACACTGGGCCACTTATTCCGGAAATGCAGCCGCTTTTCCAGAATAAGCCCAGAGCCGTCTACACTGGCCCCTTGAATTTCCGGAAAAGCGCTGACGATCTACTGTAAATCAGCTGCTTTTCCGGAAAAACTATGCTGCTCCCGCTTGGGCAAAAGTCCTTTTTCCGGAAAACTGTTCCGGAAAAGGGCCAGTGAAGACAGCACAGCAGTGTTTTCCGCAAAAAAAAGCCCCGATCGCGAAAATGACGATCGGGGCTTTTTTGCGGAAAAGCGCATCTACATTGGCAACGGACGCTTTTCCAGAAAAAGGGCTTTTCCGGAAAAGCATCCTGCCAATGTAGACGCTCTTTTTCCGGAAATACTTATAACGGAAAACTGTTTTGTTTTAAGCATTTCCGGAAATTCATGCCAGTGTAGACGTAGCCCTAATGTATTTATAAAAAGTCTTCTTGTTTCCCTTTATTCCAGTAGCTAGTTTGAGCTAATCTTGTGAATTGTGGTCTCTACCTGTCCAGCATGGAAATGTTTTGTATTTAAGCATCTCATGAAGGCTGTATTAATAAGATAAATGCTGTTGCTTCATGAAATAGATCTATGAAGGCAGAGTACCCATGAAGAAGTCTGAATAAGTGAACTTATTCCTTTGCTTTCTCTTGGTAACACTTTATTTCACTCTTTCTTTGCATTGCCTTCTCTCTGCCTTCCTGTCCTGTTTCCTCAGGCTTGAAACACCACTTGTACAACTGTCGCCTCATGCCTCAATAGACATAGAAAGGAATATGTAACTCTCATTTGCATTCTCAGAATAAAAACAAGAAAGAACAAATGTATGGGCTCCGCGAGAGAGTTGTGTGTGTCCCTCTTCTCGCAGCGGCTACAGATGTGAGAATAAACTGGCTGCTGTCTCTGCAAACCAGCAGGCATCTTCAAAGAGTGACTGTCGTTCTCAGGCCGACTAACCATGTTCTTCTGACCCCTCAGTGATGTGGCCCCCGACTGAGGAGAAAGACTCTCCATGCATTCCCCTCGCACACCAGCACTTGGGGGGCCCCAGGCTAATACATTTTGTGTGCTCCAGATCAGTGGGAGACAGCGGGGGACTGTCCCACCAGCACAGGCTCCCCAGTGCTGGGGGGAGGAGCTCTGAGCTTCAGGGGCCCAGATCCAGGCAAGCCGGGGGCCGCATGTGGGCCCCTGGCCTTAGGTTCCCCACCCCTGAAGCCAGAGAATAGACCATTTAGAGCATTACAAGCAAACACAAGATTCTAAGGAAGGGGCAAGACAGATACAGATTTTATTTTGCCATTTCATTAAACCTACTTCCTGTCACACTCCCTCTTTTCCCCCCACAATTTGCCCCGTTAGGATCCTACTCTAACAGTCAGCAGTTGCATTGTGCATCTGTCCCAAGGTACCTGTTGCCAGGGTGTTGTGCTGGTCGCATCCCTGCCACTCTTGGCTCCTGGGCACGGCTGCCCTCACAGCAGAGGGAGATCTCAGCAGTGTCTTAGTTACTCCAGGTACGTGCTGAGTGGAGCCGGGTTTCGGGTGTGTAACAACACAGAACTGCCCGTGCTGGTAACCATGGATGCGGTTATCTACACAGCCAGCCAGCAAGCGGCGAAGGGCTGTGGAGGGGAGCCCTGCAGACAGCCGCTGGAGCGCCGACAGGATGTCTCGCTTCTTAGGGGGCTGCTTTTTGCTCTCTGCCTGGCTGCTTTGCCCGCTTTGCTGCTTGGGCCAAACGGAGAGCAGCTCCACCCCGCCAGGGAACTGCGGCCCCAGGCAGTTCCTCAACACCGAGCTGTTTCAGTGCAGTCCGTGTGGGGAGGCCCTGGTGAAAAGCCCTGACGGTGAGTGGGAGCGGGCGATGCTGTAAGGTGGGTCCGGATCCGAGTACCCCCGGCCTTTGGGGATGAATTTTGCAGTGAGCCGGTGCCCTCGCTCCCTCTGGCACCTCTCAGGGCTCCTGCTCTGGAATGGGCCAAGCCAGCCCCCCAGCTCTGAGCTCTCAGGGGGAGGCAGATGCTGTGAAACCTAAACCCTAATGTTGGGATTCGGGCCTGTCTTTTGTTTGCGTTCAAATAGCGTCTCTCCAACTTTTTGGCCCACCTTGCTCAACGCAAACCTTTCCACAGCCCACCAGCCAACCACCCATGATGACAAAATGGGTATTGGAGCAGGCTGAGGTGGGGAGAGGGGGTCAGGTTGGGAGGTTGCTACGGGGCGGAATAGGGATAAGGGATTGGCTGGGAGGTTGGGCACAGGAGAGGGCTTGGGGTGAGGGTGGGGCTGGGAGGTTGGGCGCAGGAGTGGGCTGGGGTGAGTCTGGCTGGGAGGTTGGGTGCAGGAGCGGGCTGGGGGTGGGGGTCTGGCTGGGAGGTTGGGTGTGGGCTGGGGGTGGGTCTGGCTGGGAGGTTGGGTGCAGGAGCGGGCTGGGGTGGGTCTGGCCGGGAGGTTGGGTGCAGGAGCGGGTTGGGGGTGAGGGTCTGGCCGGGAGGTTGGGCGCAGGAGCGGGCTTGGGGTGAGGGGGTGGCCGGGAGGTTGGGCGC